GAAATATCTAACCCTTAGCGAAGTTCAAAATCGGATAGGGGAAATTGAGTAAAGGAACTAAATTACTTGTAATACAAATAAAAATATGAGTTATTTATAAAATCCATGAAGTTTTAAAGGGTCTGAAATTATTGGGGACACTTACTAGGCACATGCTTCCAGTCCAGGAGACATCCTGAAACCAAATCTTCTCTTGGAATAGAATTTTTCTGAAAGGGACATAGCTCTGAAGATGAGAGTGAAGAAGTTAGAATACAAAATATATATCTTTAGGTTTAGCCTTCAAACTCTTGCATGTTTACTGAAGATGATTTTGTTTCATGACACATTAATTTGTTCTATGTTATTTGAGGTGATGTCTTAGCTTTGTAAACAAGTAAAGGAGATCTAAGCAAATGTTTCAAGGGCTAGCAGGCCAAAGTCTCCTAGACTGGTGATCCCACAGAACCATAGGAAAAGCAAGAGCCAAGAACCTCATAATATGAAGACAAGCTAACATGGATATGTTATGGGCATGACCTCTGACTTCACAACTTATATGAATCACTGTGCTTATAACAACCCAACAAGAGGTGTGTAATACTGCCTTACTTACGACAACCCAACAAGAGGTGTGTAATACTGCCCTCCTATTCCATCAGGATGTGGAGCTCAGCAGGTTCAGCACTCACCAGAGGTCACACAGCTAGTGAGTGGTGAAGCTGGGATTCCATCCAAATTGGCAGATCAAAGAGCTTGACTTTTAACCTTTAAATACACTGCCTCCTTTTGGCATGCTACGTGGTGGTGAGCAAATGTTCTGGCCATTGTAATACTAACTTAAACTTGATTTATGTTTCAAATAAGTTTCAAGTACATTGTTGAAGTTGATGGTAAGAGCAATCCGGTGAGAAAGGCAGTTTAGATTTTCTTATTACCACACCTACCCTCTAACAAGCACACACACACACACACACACAAACACACATACAAACACACACACACACACACACACTCACACCCCAGGAGAGTTTAAGTGACTTGGGTTAAACCACAGATCTACCAAGTGACTGACACTGAACTTGAACCTAAATGTTCTCATGTTTAGCCTACTACTTTTCTCCTGTGACAGCAACACAATTTTACAGTTAAAAAAAAATGAGATAAAATTTCCTCCATGTCACCCAGAACATGACATTATCTCCAAAAGTCTCTAAGTTAGGCAAGTGGCCAGGCTCAGTGGCTCACACCTGTAATCCCAGCACTTTGGGAGGCCGAAGTGGGTAGATCACTTGAGGTTATGAGTTTGAGACCAGCCTGGCCAACATGATAAAACTCGGTCTCCACTAAAAATACAAAAATCAGCTGGGTGTGGTGGTGAGCACCTGTAGTCCCAGCTACTAGTGAGGCTGACGCAGGAGAATTGCTTGAACCCAGGAGGTGGATGTTGCAGTGAGCTGAGATCATGCCACTGTACTCCAGCCTGGGTGACAGAGTGAGATGCTGTCTCAGAAAAAAAAAAAAAAAAATGGCATGTTGCTTATAAAATGTCGTATGAACATCAAATCATATTAATACATACAGGTGTATATTTTAAATCACTTAAAACTCCCTATAAAGAAGAATCTAAAACTGCTTTTTCAAAATTTTTGCATGAATAAATTCAGACACAGCTACAATGATTTATATGTTTATTCAGAAATCAACATCTGTGTTTTGTGTGTGTTATGGATAGAGAGATTTGTACTTTATTAGCACTAGCCACATATAACAAATATACAAAGATAAAATTTCTATTCGGAAAATAGTCTGATATCACAATTTGTTTTTATTTCATCTCAATTTTCTGGTACCCTCTAAGCTGTAAAATCCTGGGAATCCAAAGAAAAGAGTTCAAAGGAAAGGGCCTGAGGGCAGCAGACAGTGGCTGGGAGTCAACAGGGGAGTCACAGAAAGTCATTACACCACTCTGAACCCCATATTCCTCACCTATAACAGAAAGGGCTTAGAATAACTCTAAGATCTCTAAAATGCTAAGGAATAATGCTTAAACTCGATAAAGTTTGAGGACTTGCTTTACTCTGTAAGAAGCTACATTTTTAAATAAGTAGCTAAGAATTTTCCATTACCCCCTTTTAATAGTGGATTCATAGATAATGCAAAACTATTGACACAGAAAACTCAGGGCTATTTTTCAGAGCCCAGGTTTATCCACCTCCTGTGTGCTTCTACTAAAACAGGCACGATGCACCGTCTCAGGTACTTCCTCACCATTTAGTAGAAAAGCTAATTGTGTAAAGAGCAATGAGAAAATACTAGTGACTAGATGATTCACTCTTCCACTGGCTAACGGTTTCTCTGATTTTGGCCCACAGGGAGCCACGTGGATTCACTGCTGAGAGGTGGCGCTCTTGACCAAAATATCCTCACATCAATGCTGATGGTCTTGACCTGTGTGGGCACTGAGGCTTCCCACTTTATGACTTCCTGATAACAGGCCACAGATATTCAGCGTAAATGACTGTACAATGCATCAATATCAAAACAATTATCATGGTACCCCATTCCCTTGTATGATAAATTTCATTCAGAATTACAAAGGAACAGGAAAAAGGAAGAGAAGGAGGGCAAAACCTCAAGAGACATCCAGTGTTTCAAGAAAATGTTGGACTTTTCTTCTGTGCCACTATCAAGCTTATTTCAAAATTCGTTTTCCAAATGACTATGGCAAAGAGGAGAGGTTAAAAGGTTTTGCTGTCTGTAGGCAGAAGGCATCTTTGTGCTAATATGTACCAGCATTCGTATAGAGCTCTAGAGGAAGACACCCAAGTTCTCAGAGACTTTCAAAGGTAATAATAAACCCCAAATTATTATAAATAGAAATTTAAGATTTAGGATTTAATAAACTGTAGTTCAAATTTAACACAGAATCCTCAGAAAGCAAAGCATAAGCATTTGTTTCCCTGATTTAAACTGATGACGTGCCAGGATGCTTCTCTTTATATCCTCCAAATATGAATCTTTTCACGGTCATGAAATAAAACATGTTAGGGTTTTCTCTTTTCCTGGGGACAAGCTGGCTGCCTGTCTGTTAGTCCCATAGATGGGGTCAACTCTCCATTGATATACCAGTGCCCCCAGTTTCTGTCTGTCATGGCAACTCACTTTGGCCAGTGCTTCATATTATTAGATCGTTCTTACATTAAAACAAAATTTGTTTCCCTGAAGTTTTTATTTCAATTTACAAACAAGGCAATACTTCAAGATTTTTTGAGCATCTGCTATCTGCCAGTCCCTGCTAGGCCTTAGGAATAAAACGATGAGGAAGTTATATATAGTTTACCTGATCTTGTGGAATTTATAGTCCATTTCTCTAGTTCTCTCAATTTTTCTGTCCTAATGCTCCTAAGAAATAGATCACATTCCCACAGTAACAGTGGCACTCTGCAGCAGGCACATTAGCATCTCAGCAGACAAAGAGATTGCAACCTGAAGAAGTCTACAAGTGACTCTACTTACCACATGCCCCTCTTTCAGAATCACTGTTCTAATGGCTCTGTATTCCTATAGAAGTTTAACCCTACATCCATGGGGTGGCAGGTCAAATGTCTGAAGACTATTATTACGTATCTTCTCCCCAACCTCTCACTTTTTGCATGTTCAGGCTTAACATGCCACAGAATTCAGACGACAACGGTTGTGTTCTTGAAGAAAAGACTGGGTCAGAAAAAGCTATTGAGAACAGCTGTAAAAGTATTTACATCTGTAGTTAAATGGAACTGAATCCATCAGGCAAAACCAATAGCTGAGGAGGAGAAAAGGGAATGAGCAGGCAGAAGCCTGGGCTACGAGCAGTGCACTGAAATGTAGCCTAAAATGAGCAACCCAAGATATGAGGGACGCGGAGAAGAGAAGGGGGATGCATTGTTCCATCATCTTGTTTTTCTTTACTGTAAGATGCGACCATAGATTGTTCCTTCTTGGGGGTTGGAAAAAAAGTATTACAGAAGAAAACATATTCCGTACCAATTGGTCAAACTTAAGATTTAAAGGGAGAGACAGAGGAGGAGGAGAAAGGGGAGGAAGAGAAGAAGAAGAAGAAGAAAAGGAATACTAGGAAAAATCATTTCCCCTTATAGAGCTGGAATGTGTATAATGTAAAGAGACAGTTGCCTTAAAGCATTAGGCCTCATGGCCTGATTAACATCATTTGATCTTTTCCTGTAGAAAAGATCCTGCATGTTTCCAAAGGCAGTGGCTTTTTCAATAAAACCAGAAGTCTGGGTGAGCAGAAAGCTGTTAGAAGAAAAAGCAACTTGTTTTTTGATTAATCATCTTTTTTTAATCCCACCTGCTTCATAAACTTCAGTCTCCTCTCTGTCAGTAGGGGCTGCATGTAAAGCTAAAAATCTGGGCCCTGGGGGATCTAACATCTAATATGACAAAAATCAATCAATAAAAAACTCACTATGACCTAAACTGTCAGATCAGACTTTTGGGCTGCCTGCCGACAGGAGCTTTTGTTTGTTTGTTTGTTTTCTAATTTTTTCATTTCAACTTTTATTCTCCCTCCTCTGTGCTATTTAGCTAACAGTCACCAGGCAGTGTCAGTGAGATTGATTAGCACACCATTATACCACAGTTTTTTTGTGATTTACTTTTTATCTTGCTTATCTACATGCTTTTGCAAGTTTCTGGTGAGATTGGTGCTCCTCCTGAATTTGAGAGTGACCATCAGAAAGCCAGAATTTTCCATTAAGCAATTTGGTGCAGCACATTGGTGGGGGCAACTGGAGCATCTCTACATCCGTGCTGTCATCTCAGGGTGGCCGGGCTAAGAGACACAGAGGGCTTCTGGTTGTTTGAGAGGACAGAGCAGTCATCGTAACTAGTTCAGTCTCTGTGGCCCATTCAGCTCCTGGCATCACTGCCAAGCCAGCCAACAAAGGACCATTGTAATCCTGACGGTTTCCCAGCAATGACAGTACAGACGCAGACCACCAACCAGCTCATTTCACTTACACTGTTCACAAGGAGACTATGAATGGAAAAAAGTCAATGGCAAAACTCCCACATCCTGCTAAAGTTGGTATATGGATACTTTTCTAGTGAGTGAGTGTACCTTCAAGCCGGTAACCCTCATACCTGTTTTCTTTGCTTTTTGTTTAAGTACAATTAGCTTGAATGATAATGCAAAATGCTCATAGAAGCCTATCAAAAATTAGGTTTGAGTTGAAAAAATAAGAATATAGCATGCAATACTTTGGAAAACAATGTGTAATAAAAATGAAATTCCATAAATGTAAAGCAAAATTGAGATAACTTTTAAAGATAAGAAACAATAATTCTATCTAGTGTGAGACCACTGTCACTATTAAATAATCAAATTTGAGTTTCTAAAAATAGAATTTTCAGCTATAGAATGGAATTATTTGAACTCAATTTCAAATTTTGGATATGCAGTCAGAAGTCTGCATTTCTATGGACCAAGCCAATGATGTCTCTCTCTGATTTTTAAAAGTAGCAAAACACTTTGGGAGGGCCGAGATGAAAGGATCATTGCCTACACCTAGGAGTTCAACAGCAGCCTGGGCAAAATGGCGAGACCCCATCTCTATTTTTTGAAAAAGTAGAAATAAGTAAAATAAAATGTTTAAGAACAAAGGAAATTCAGAGGTATTTATCATGTATTTAACATTTATTGAAAGTCAGGATGTATTTTTAACAATCAGATAAATTGATCTTTTAATACATTTCAATTAAAAACCTGGCATGATTCCATTTATTTAAATTGCTTTTCCTGTAAGTACAAGTTATAACAATGGGATGCCACATTTACTTTTCAGTTATCAAGTATTCAAACAAATAATAGTATTCCTTGCTTGTGGAGGACATGGAATGAGAATATGGTGTTTAAACTGGATCCACAGGTTTAGAAAGCAGTATACCAGAACCTTGATTGTCTGCCTCTTTGACTTTTGACTTCATATCCTTCTTATTATGTTTTATGTATATATATGAATTATAGAAATGTGTTTTTTTTTTTTTT